GTGAGGATTCGTGAGAAGCTCATCATCAGGGATGTTTCCCAGACCGTCGCCAATAGCCCATTGTGCAGCTCTAGTGCGACGTAAAGTAACAACAACAAGTATGCCAACTGCTATTTTCAATTTATGCATTTTTGAAGCAAATGAAGTTTTTAAACAATTGAAATACTACCGCTTCATTTTCACATTGTTTATAAAAGCTCCATATTTCGCTCAAAAGCAAGCACTCCAATGATCAATTATTATGTTTTCTTATGCCAAATTTATAATCCTAAACCTCAATTATTTATTTCTAATTTGTATATTTTTGAAGCGAAGGAAGTTTTTAATCAAATGCTGTTCAAATATTACGCAAGCATCTTTTTTGGCGTTTTTTAATCTCCCTCACCCCGGTAAGCAAACTGTTACCAAAAATACCCTCTTATGCTTACGCAAGAAAGTTCCAAGTCATGCTCCCCTCGGTTTTTGTTTTAACTTTGACACTTAGTGAGGTCGTCAAATTTTAGGATTAAATTTAAATAAAAAAACGTTTACATAAAACGAAATTTACGTTTGAATTAATTTATTAACTTTAGGGTTATAAATTAATTCAAACGGTTAATAAATTTATTAATGCGATATGTAAACATATCGCGTGTGAAGCAGGACAGTCTGCTAAATTTTAAATGAGTGTGAAAATCAAAAAGTCGAATTTGTCCAATATGCTCTACATCAATGTTTTTTAAGGTTCAGTGCCACTGCCCAGTATACATTTGCCCGGTATACCCTACACTGATCTTTTTTTAGAAAAAGTTAAGTGCCACTGAAGCATTTAACACGGTATGCATTTAACTGGACACTGATGTTTCTCCTAATCTATCCTAAACAGAATTTAAAATATCGAATAAATATAATAATATCAACGAATAAATTAATATGAAATCTGATACAACAAATATTTCGGACATTCACCAAAGCGACAATGCGATTGTTGGCATTCACCGGTGAAAGTTGACATTCTCTTGGTTCCGGCAATTCACTGTAACATTAGCACTTAGTTCGTAAAAATCTGATCATTAGAAAAAAAATTATTGAATGGCATACTTTTTTTCTGTTTGTGTGCTGATCCCCTGTTGACATAATTTAAATTAATTTAAATATTGATTTTAGTTACAATAAAAAATGTTTTTATGCAATGAAATAAGCTGTACATTATATATATTATTATAATTTTGTTTTTCAGGATTGCCTTTCTATGTAGGACACACTTTCCTGTGATGACATTTGAAGTTAACCTTTGATAATAACCACAGAAAGGTTGTCTGCCATCTTTAAAGTTAGCTTCAACTGCCACAGTGAAAAATCAAAGAAAGGCTTTAAAAAACAATAATATTGCACTATACTTTATTATGATGCTTCCTTGTTATTCATTCCATTGTATAACTTAAATGATAACTTGGATATTGTATACTTCTGTTACTCAATTACACTTGACTTCCTGGATGCTAATTTCAGAATTATTTTTTAATGTAATGTCTGGTACTATTCTTTTTCATCATTAACTCAACCAACAGGAAAAGATTAATTTTGTAAAATTTTTATCTAAAAATCAATTTGGGTAAGAAGTCTACAGCAAGAATATTTACCTATAAATAAGTTAATAGAAGGCGTCACTCAGTATGAATTTAAAGGATAACAACTTGTTTAATGTTCGTTCAGATAAAAAAATGAAACCTTATTCTTGTGGCATCTGCAAGAAGCATTTTTCATCCAATTCTCAGCTAACTGTTCACAGTCGCATTCATACAGGTAAAAAACCTTATTCTTGTACCTTATGCAATATGAGTTTTTCTGTTAAGAGTAATCTGACTCAGCACTGTCTTGTTCATACCGGTGAGAAGCCTCATTCTTGTAGTGTATGCGATAAGAGTTTTTCAAAAAAACATCATCTAACAAACCACACTTATATCCACACTGGTGAAAAACCTTATTCTTGTAGTGAATGTAATAAAAGTTTTTCAAGGAAAGATCAACTAACTGAACACAGTTACACTCATAGTAACGAAAAACCTTATTCTTGTAGTGTATGTAACAAAAGTTTTTCAAGGATGACGCATCTCACTGAACACACTCGCACTCATTCTGGTGAAAAACCTTATTCTTGTGTCATATGTAATAAAAGTTTTTCACAAGAGAATACACTATCTATGCATTGTCGCACTCATACTGGAGAGAAACCTTTTTCCTGTAGTGTATGTAATAAGAGTTTTACAACGAAGTCATGTTTAACTCAACACAGTCGCACGCACACTGGTGAAAAGCTTTTTTTATGTGTCATATGTAACAAAAGTTTTTTACAAAGAGTTGAGCTGGTGGTGCACAGTCGTGTTCACACTGGTGAAAAACCTTATTCTTGTAGTGTATGCAATAAAGGCTTTTCAACGCAGTCAAATCTAAGTCGTCACAGTCGCATTCACAGTGGTGAAAAACCTTTTTTATGCGCCATATGTAATAAACGTTTTTTAGAAAGGTTTGAACTGTCAGTGCACAGTCGTGTTCATACTGGTGAAAAACCTTATTCTTGTGGTGTATGTAATAAGAGTTTTTCAACGAAGTCAAATCTAGCTCGTCATCATAGTCGCACTCATTCTGGTTAAAGCCACTGATTTAGAGAGGCTGACTCGTCCGCCATTTTGGAGCAAAAAATTCAAGATTTGGCAATTTATCGCTACAAATGACTCTAACCTCTACTAGGATAATACGTGAATAAAAGCGTGATCCCGTATATCGATTTACGTTGATTTTCAGAAACTTTTTTTAATACTTGTTCATTAAAAAATTTACAATTAACAAATTCAGTAAAAAAAAATTTTTTATTGATATTTAAAATAAAAAAAAATATTATTCATTACTAGATAGAAGCATTTTTGGTTCTTTAATAATTATATATTTAAAAAAAAGTAAAAATTAAAAAAACCCAAGTAAATGGAGAAGATCAGTAAATTTATATTTGCATTCACCTAGTTTTCTCTTTCTCTGTGTCCTGGGGGTCTCTTTGGAGGAATTCTTCAAAGATTTGGAATAGTATGAGGTCTTAATTATTTATTACCGTCTTCCTTATTTGCTTTGAAATGAGATTCTTTAAAATGAACCCGCAAGATAATTTTAAACGCTGTTTTATATTAAATTCAATCACATTTTTAAAAGATTCATAATTTAAATTTTGTAAACATACTCCCATTAACTAAGTTGCAACAGAAACTAATTATTCCAGCAATTTAACACAAAAGTTTTAATAAAAAAAACTACAAAATTGATAGATCCAAAAAGGTATTAAAGATCTCATTTTAAATAGACTTCTTGTTATAAAATTTAAACAAACCGTTAGAACTTTAAGCGATATGTAAGCATAAGTAACTAAAAAAATTAAACGAGTTAGGATTAAAAAGCTAACTATCTGATATATAGTAACTCAAAGTGAAATAAAATTAGAAACAGGTAAATATTTATTTTTAACAAAACTTAGCGATTCTCAAATAAGTTTGGCGAATATTTATTCAGCCAATCTCTTGTTTTATATTTGGTTTCATACCACACAAACACTCAAAGTTCTTAAATAAATATTAAATGTTGTTTAAAAGGTCATATTTTGAATAAATATTTACGTAATAAATGCAATTTTCAAGAAAAATCCCTATATTTGATACATAGTTAGAGTCCCGTGGTGGACTGATCGTTAAGACACGGTTCCCAGCAGTTCACCGAAGTCAAGCATCACTGGCTGCGGTCAGTGTGCGGGTGGGTGATCACTTGGATCAATCTGCGTAGGGACCGAGGGTGTGCGGTATTGGTCCTCGTTAAACTGTGCTACCGTAAAGTGCTCGACTTCGCGCGCAGGTCGTCGGGCTACCGAAGCGGGAGTGCCATCCCCTCCGCAGAGGATCAAAATTGTGATGGCATGTCTTCGGATCATCCTCAGGGATGTTTCCCAGACCGTCGCCAATAGCCCATTGTGCAGCTATAGTGTAACGTAAATTAAAAACAACAACGATACATAGTTAGAACTTTACTAATCAAGTAACCCAGAAAAGTTATTTATTATAAGCTTATTTATTTTTAAAGAAATAGACAAAAACAAGCATTCAGAAGCAAATTCTAATAACTTAAGGTCGTTATTATACTACATATCTAAGTAAAAAAATTCAATAAATTGTAAATAAATGAGTATTTACTACACATAAGTGAGCTCTGCTTCTCGGCTGACAGTTATATCTTCTAAAATTTAGAGCCCATTTCTTCTTACTTACGAGATCTGATTTAAATCTTAACAGTAGAAAGCATTTTTTTTTTTTTTAAAGAAACTGTTTTGCCCAATTCATCCTACACAATTACCCAAATCAATAATTTTAAGGGGCTTTAAATTCTCACGCTAATGTTAACACTACGTAACTAGCAAACTTGTTTGCTCCATCATGGCGGATAGTTCAGCTCCCACTATAAAAGAGCCTTAATTCTGGGGACAAACCTTGCTCTTGTGTTAAAAAAAAATTTTTTTACTGAATTTTTTTACCAGTTTTGTCCATACTACTGTATCATTTTATTCTTGCAAGAAGCGTAATAAAAGATTTTTACATTATAATCACCTACAGTTATTTTCATTGTAGTTTATGTAAATTGAGTTTTGTAATGAATGCAATTTAACAGACGGAATAAAAACAACTGAAGAATCTTACTTTTGTAGTCAGTTTAGTGAGGTACAGCTGACATTCGATATTTAGAGAGTAATTTGGCCGAGTATTCGACTTCCACGTGGTGCACGGTGGTTCATGTTTGAAAAAAAAAGTTATTCGAGGTGTTTCATTATTTATTTGCACATTTCATATATATATATATATATATATATCTTGCGTACATTGCGCTTATATACACAGAAACGACAAAACTTAGGCTATCAGCCATGAGTGCAACACACATTAATATACATGTTTAATTTTTTTTTTTTATGAATAATGGTGATCAAATTCATTTAAAAATATTTTTTATTAAACCTTCCGCAAAGTAAAAGGTTATTTAAAAAGCCAAATTTACAATTGGTATGTTTGTTCTAATCAAATATGAAATGCTGCCTATCTGTAAATAGTCAGTCAATGGGAAAAGTTATTGAAGTTATACCGAGAATGTACTTGTAATTTGCATTAAAACACCCAACGGTATAATTAAAAGAGCAATTTCAAAAATTGCTATTTTACCTATCAATGAAAGGAGCATGTCAGACGAGGAAGCAATTTATTTGAAAATTGTTTGCTAATTCATTCATTGCTACATTGCATAAACCGCCTAGAGTTGTTAAAATATGGTCGCCTAAAGACTTTCCTGCACTCATTTCTGTTAAATAAGTGGGAGGCCATGTTTTTTTTATTTTTATTTTATTTAAACGACTTAAAACTCCTCATGCACCATAAAGTATAGCATGAGGCTTACAGTTGTAAGTAGGAAACAAAAGGAGAAAAATTTACAAATTTACATTCAAAACAAAATTCCGCAAGGCCGCAAGACTTTCAATACTTTTGACCAGTTCTGACAAGACAGGTGGCCAACAAATAGAAAGACGTCTCAAATCAGTCTTTAAATTCATTCGGGCACTCGCATACAGACTACAATGAAGAAGAATATGTTCAGCATCTTCATCAGCATCACCGCAAGCACAAATTCCACTGGTCTGCAGATGGAAACGAAATAAATATCTCTTAAAATTTCCATGGTTTGTTAAAATTTGGGTCAATTTAAAATCAGTTGCAAAGAATTTACATTGCAAACGGTGAAAAATGGATGGAAAGAACCTTTTCGTCCAAAGCGACCGAGGCGAAGCAAGAAATTCAGCATTCCAGTCCGCAATGATTTTATCTCTAGCGATGCGCTTCCAGTGAGAAGCTGGAACAGACACCCTTAAGTCTATTTCACCACACGTAGCTTCCCTAGCCAATTGGTCTGCTCTTTCATTGCCCAAAATACCGCTATGGCCACGAACGTAAGAAAAATGAATAGTTACGTTTTCAAGAGCGTTCAAAATCGAGTGAATTTCCACCACAAGCTTCTCAGTAGAAGTCGTGTCACGCAAAAGAAAAAGTGAAGAAAGAGAATCTGTACAAATGAGATATTTAAAAATTTGGTTTTCACTAAAAGAATTTTGTATCCACTTAACAACCAGGTTTATACACAAAAGTTCAGCCTGGAAAACAGTACATTCATTATGTAGTCGGTGCTTGGCAGTAACCTTCTCTGTTCCATTTTCATAAATTACAAAAGCAAGACCAACCCTTCCATCAAGCTTACTACCATCCGTAAAGCAGATAGTTTTATATTCCTGAAAAACATTATTTACATAAGGAATAATTATAACAGGTTTCCTGCATGCTGGGTGGGGCAAACATGAAATAGGAAGCTTCCCGTCCAGGGTTAGACAATCGTTGTCTTTTATCTTCTCCTTTAATTCAAGATTATTTAAGATAATTAAATCAATAGGCGGAAGACCAGCGATAACAAAGACCGCATCATAACTAACAGTTCTATATCCCCGAATAATACGTAGAAGAATTCTTCTTTGAGTTCTTCTAAGGATTCTAATATTTATCTTCTTTCTCAAAGAGTTTCCCCAAGATCCTGAAGCATATGAAATAAGTGGTACAATACCTTGATTATATATTAATTTAAGAACATCTGTTTTAACCCCATAAGTATTTTTTGAAATTCGCAATAAAGCAAGAAGAAGTTTTTCACTTTTACTGGATACATAAGATATGTGCTGCTTAAACTGCAGTTTATTATCAACAATAACTCCCAAATACTTTATCTGCTTTACTTCTTCAATAGGTTCATTCCCAAGAGTCAACTGAATAACCCCATCCGGTATCGACTTTTTATGTATCATCATAACTTTAGATTTCAAAGGATTGAATTCCAGCTTATAAAGTTTCGACCATTCAAAAACGTAATCCAAGATATTCTGAGAAAGAACACAAGCATCATTAAAGTTCTTGCACTGAACAATAATAAGTAGATCATCAGCAAATGCAATTTTATAACTATTTTGAAATTCTGATAAACCACAGAGCAAGTCATTCATAATAAGGTTCCAAATAAAAGGTCCCGTAACGGACCCCTGAGGACAACCCTTTTCCAAAACAAAGTTTTTTGTGATATTGCCCAGAGTAAGATCAGCAGAGCGACCGTGCAAGAAACTCTTTATTAAGTAAAAAATATTCTTAGGAACTTTGAGTTGTCTAAGCAAGTGCAGAATTCCAGGCCACCAAGCATTATCGAAGGCTCCTCTAATGTCTAAGGAAACAAGAAAAGTGACAAAATTTTTATGTTTACCCTGTCTAACTATATTACAAAGCCGGATCAGAGCATCTTCAGCCGACTTCTGAGGTGTAAAACCATACTGATCCTCACTTAAGAGGCTTGATTGTCGTAGATGAAAGTTGAGTCTATTTATGAAGAGTTTTTCAAAACATTTGCCTAAACAAGGAAGTAGACTTATACATCGAAAGTTATCAATATGTGACCTTGATAGCTCAGAATTTTTTGGAATCGGTACAACTTTCGCTCTTTTCCAGATCTTCGGAAAAATACCAAGATTTAAACAAACATTAAACAAGGTCATCAGTATAGAAGGACAACTAACATGCAAATTTTTAATTAGTTCATTCGTAATTCTATCGTATCCTGGAGTTTTATTCACTTTTAAATTTTCAACTACACAATCAACTTCCGCACTAGAAAAGGGAACATCATCTTTAGCGTCATAATCCAATTCAGCCTCGTCACGTAAGAGCTTATGACTGAAATGGTCCTGCATTTTAGAATCACGAGGAAACGATTTCTTCAATATAGCATCAATCGTATCTTCAAAAGAAGAGGTGAAATGACCAGGGGAATCTTCAATACCCGAGATTTCAAGCCTTTTAGCAAAGTTGGTCTTAACTCCATAAGTATAAATTTTATTCCACACATTTTGCACAGTAATATCCCCAAGAAAATCCTTCCAAGAATTTAGTTTGCTTTGCTCAAGTTTTAAGTTATACTCAGACCTGATACGAAGATAACTGCTTCTATAAATCTCCCTTAAAACGAAATTTCTAGTCCTTTGATATCTTCTTCTAGCAGCATTTAATTTTTTCCGCATACAAGAAATTTCTACCGACCACCAAGGAACTTGATGCGATCCACTCTTTTTCAAAGGAATAGATTTTTCTGCCGCCGAAATAATTAAATTTTGTAAATTTTGAACGCATACCTCCAACATATCTGTTCGTTCGCAATTTTCAATGGAATTCAAAATATTAAATATGGAATCAGAACAGAGAAGATGAAAAAGTTTCCAGTTTGCTTTTTTAATATTAAAGAGGTTTTTCGTTTCAGAAATAGTAAAATCATAGTTAGGTCTTGAGATTTTCATTTCAAAAGCAATCATTTTATGATCAGACAGGGAATCATACTCAGGTATATACCATTTCTCAACCAGCTGAAGAAGTTCCATTCCGACAACGGTAACATCAATATAACTTGTTCCCTGATTCGCACTAAAAGTAGGTCCATAGTCCTCATTTATCGAAAACAAATTCCAAACACTAAAGAATTCGCTCAATCTAATACCTCTGGAGTCAGTAATAGGGCTAAACCAGACCTCAGACTTGCTGTTGGCATCCATACACCAAATTAGTCTATTTAGACTTTTATTCGAAAAAATATGCTCTATCTTTCTAAGATCTAAATCAATATTAACGGAAGGCTGGAAATAATAAGAAAAAAGATTAAAATTCTGTCCTCTATACGAAACATCAATAAGTGCAGCATTATAATCAAAATGTTCTGAAACAGAAAAAACAGTTATCGCTCTATTACGAACAACGATGGCCGCCTTAATAACGTCTGATTTTTCATCATAAAAAATTCTGTAAGTATTAGGAAAGCCAAGTAATTTGCCATTAAAACAGTAGGGCTCCTGAATAAGGGCAACATCAACATCATCAAATTCAAGATTTAAAATAAGCTGCTGAGTAGCTTTCTTTGACTTATGCAAGTTTAATTGTACAAAACTGATGTTATTCTTAAGGACCTTAACCATCATAATCAATTCGAGAAGTCATTTGATTCCTCATAAAAATATGACAAGAGCAGCTTTGAGAAAAAGGCTTATGTCTAACATCCACTTTTTAACTTCCACTTTTCAATTTTTTATTGTATCTAATATAGTTTACTCAAACTTGATTTTCACAATTTTTACACTCTGAACTTCTATGCTCTCCGGAACAAAAATAACAAGACAACTTATTTCTGCATTCCATAGATCTATGATTATAGCCGAGGCATGAAAAACACCTATTAATAACTACGAAATCTTCAACACTACACATGAAGTCAACATGGGAGGCCATGTTGACTTCAAAATTCTGTACGCTTTTATTCTGCGAATACATCGCTCAATGTGAACTCTAGCTTTCGAAATAATTCTTGAATGAGAGACCTCACGACCAGACAACTGACTTTTGCCTCTGGTAAAAGCAGGGACAACAATACTAGCACCCTTCAAACCAACAACTTCCTCAATCCTGAACCCTCTGTCGGCTAGTATCTTGTCTCCACTCTTAACCAAATTCAAGAAGCCAGAGTCAATCGTTATTTCTTTGTCCGAGTGTCTTCCACCATACAAGTTCGACAAAAATATTATGCCGCCATCAGGGCTACAAGCAATCAAAAATTTCACGGTATTATGATGCTTATAATTGGAGTAGGTCTGACTCCGAGCATCTAAATTACGAGCAGTGTCAATGAATATCTCAGAGCAGTCGATGACACAAATAACATTTCGGAAAATTTCATGTCGGAAACATTGAGGCATGACTGTAGGCCTGTGAGATGGCCAGGCGATGCACGATGATAGAGTTACAGACATCTTTTCCACCCACTCTCTAAATATGTAGCTCACAGTTGCAGAGCCAACTCCAAACCTATAGGCAAGATCTTGGTTTAAAAGACCAAGTCTTAGCTTCATGAAGACGATGAGCAACTGCGACTCAGAAGAAAGCCTTGTCTTTACCGCTGGTTTCCACCCAGTGGTCAACCACTGTAACAGAGCATGAAATAAAACAACTCCTTTTAGTTTGGTGTAGAAGTTCACTTGTTTATCATTGCTTAAAATATCTGAGGAAGATTTCCTAGACTTTTCACACTGAAAAACCTTCCTTCTTAAGTTGAGGGTTGCTTCTTGACTGTCGCATAAATCTCTTTCCAAGTTGCTAATATCCAGCATGGATAATTCTGTCATTGTTGAAATCGATCTTGTGGCAGCCACAGAACTATCAGCTTGATCTGTATGAAAATAAAATGTATTCTTTAAAAATAAAAAAACATTTTTGAAAGTAAAGTACAGAATTTTTTTTATCAGAATTTTGAACAGGAACTATTGGGGCAAAGTACAGAAATTCAAGACATTCTTAAAGTTTAATAGAGGCCATGGTATGGATCATCGATTCACAAGTGTAATGGCATAGGATCATTAGTTTACAAGAGGAAAATGCGTTACACACGCTTATTAGTGAATAAGCATGTACAGTGGAACCTGTAAAAGTGAGCAACTGAGTAAGGTGACCATTTTCCATAAGTTTTATTTAAAGAGTCTTCATAAAGTGACTGTAAATACTTCTACTGTAAATTGCATTTTCCCCCTTGGTGGACGGGTAATAAAAAAATTCATTGCTATACTTGACTGTATAAATATATAATGTAAAAAAGTGGAAATACAATTAGAATAAGGAAATGTATAATTTTTAATAAATAAGGAATAATTAGCTGCACAGTAGTAAACGTTTAAGCTAGTTTTCAGAAAAAATTTTGCTCGCCATTTTGAATTGGAAAGACTGAGCTTTGCTTAAAACTGAGTAGATGGAAAGGTTAACAATATTTTCATTTTATTATACTTATAATAAAAAACATGTTTGCAAACCTATGTCGATTGAATATAATTCTGCAATATGCAACAGCCAAATAGTGTAAATTTTGCTAGCTGGTTATCAGTACATTATTTCAAATTTCCATATATTTACGGTCAAATCATACTTACAGATTTTGATTAAGTTCTAGGAAATTATAGAATATTTTTAATTAAGTTACACATAAATTAATTGCATTAACTTTAAGAATAAATTCAAATCAAAAATAAGTGTTACTTACAATACTTAACCCATTAACTGTTGACTATTAAGTTACAGAGTACAATCTGCTTACTATCTTACAAAGTAAATCAGTTTCTCACATTTTAATACTGGCAATTCTCGGTATGGTGATTTTTGACAAAGTTGTGTTTGTTAAAAAGCTAATCAGAAAAATTTAGTTATTGGCACTGCCAGGGTATTGTCTAACACATAATTAATGAGAGATAACTCAAAACTAATATGCTTATCAGACACATGATGCAACAAATCCAAGATTAGAAATTAAACTACATAACAATACAAAAGTGTTCATTAATTTATCATAGAGCACTTAATATCAAACAAATAAATCCTTGTCACAAACATTTACAATAAAAAAAATTGTTTACCATTAGATAATCCACGCCTTACAGTTCTTTCAAACCTCTGCACACTTCCTGAAGCCAAAGCAGCTTTATGATGAAAGACTGATGGTACATAATCAGGATGACTGGGATCATCAGATTTATTTCCTAATAATTTGAAAAACAAACTAAATTATCTATACATAACATCGAATTATATTTAATAATGTCCGAAATTTACCAAATAACTGCTAACTCATTATTCAGTCACCAAATTATTAAATTCTACCATCCCATGATTGCTTAAGTCGTTGGGGCATATATTATTTCGATGAATTAATTTCAAATATTGATTTTATCATCACTGTTTTGAATTAAATTTTAACAATAATTACATTTTCATTTTTGCTAATGCTCCGCAATTTACAAATGTTCCGCTGTCTTCCACAGAAACGACTGACCAGTAAAATAGTAAGTCACAAGTAAAAAAAAATATATAATAAAATAACCAATAACAAAGCAATATTCACAACTTTTTTTACACAAAATTATAGATGTAAATGATAGTTGCTAATGAGTAACCAATTTACAAAGGACACTACCTTTCCATTTGAACTTTTAAACCAAACCTCAAACATATACTAATTTTTAGAAAAAATAAATAATTCTGAAACACTAAACATCAAAACACAGATTCATAAACATAGTTATCACACTTATTCTATGTAAAACAGCCACTCTTCTCTACACTACAGCCACTCTACTTTATTTTTATTCCTCAATCTACATGTTTTACACATGCATACAAAAATTGTAACTGTTCTACAACGATTAGCAAAAGGTGGTTATGAGCAAATGCTCTCGAATTAGTAGCAGTCTGACGTTAACGATTAGTTAAAAGGCATGCAAATGATAGATTTTTCAAGACATAAAACATTACATTGTTCACAGGCAAACAGAAAACGAATGCCTAGAAGAAGAATGTTAACAATGCGGACTTAATAACATTAAAATGTCTTTCTATAGAATTTTTACAATATACATATTTAACATGCAGCACATAGAAGGAAATATTTCATAACAACGAATAAAACAGGTTGAATGCATTTTGTACAACTGATAAGTTTTCTTACCGCTAATAAAATGGCTATTACATATTCGAGAGTTAACTGTGGAAGTCCAATCCTTACGTCCAACAGTATTTTCCCACTGTGTTTTCCGAATAGGATCTTTAGGGAATCGGATCATCTTGATTTCTGATAACAAATTTGTACCTGATCTCCTACAGCATCCTACAGCGACACAACAAGAGCCAATTCGAGCTTTAGAACTCATTGTAAACTAAGTAATAAGAAAGTATTCAAATAACACGTTTGCAAGAATCTTATGACACAATAATAAACACGTTGTGAGCCAAATGGCTTTAAAATACACAGGAAGCAGCAACCCGGAAGTTTAAGCAGGTCCACAGCTAGCAGCGCTCCCTAGTGTCGAAAACACCATCCATTCTCCCCGCCCCAAAGTCTGCGGCAGTCTGGTGCTATGGAAATAAGAAGAGGGCATTTTAGGGAGGACCGAAGAAAGGGGTCTCATTTTTTCTAGCTGAAACCCGTCCTAAAGAGGTACCCCACACCCCTACTTGAAATAATCATACCTCGTTACCATAGTCACCGCCACAGCTCCAGACGAATGTCCGGAAGTGTACCTATCTTAGACAAACGGTATATATGTTTTGTATTATTTACCAATGATTATCATGCCCATAATATCATATGCATTTAAAAAACACTTGAATTTAATTATGCCGTATCTGTTTTGTATTAATGCAGTTGTCATTTACTAATTGTTATTATAACTATAATATTTATTTGTTGCTATGTATTAACAAAATATATTTGGAATTACTGTGTTCATTAAACGATTTAAAAAAAAATCATTTTGTCATCATATGTATTAAATATAAGGTAAATAATCAGTTGCATTTTATTTATTTTGACAAAATAAGACGACATGAAAAGTTAATTTTACCCTCTTTTTGAGTACAGGATATATTTTTATTTTACAAGATATATATTTATTTTATTTTTTCATTAATCAAATCATCAAAATGAAAGAAAAAATTAGTGCAATTCAAACCATATTTTCATAAATCGTTAAGTTCTTATAACTAAGAAAAACTCAGATTGATGAAAAATGTTAACCCCCCCCCTCCCCCAGAATAATAAAGCAAATTGATGGAAGAGACAGAGAATTTTTTTACGTAATAAAAAGCTATAAAGAATAAAATACAAAGTGATCCCGTATTCATGGTACAGATTCTAAGGGTAGGATCTGGACATTGTACCAATAAGCGCAAATAATGCGGTGAGATGCAAATTCGGATATTCCAACAACGAGATCCTTATCTGAGTCTAGTGGAGTCGCATAAATAAGATTCTTCAGATGTCCCCATAAGAAGAAATCGAGCTTCGATAAATTGAGAGATCGAGGAGGCCAAGGCAGTGGCGTAGCGAGCTTAACTCGCGCCCGGGGCACAATGGTACTTGAAGCTATGTAGTANTGGGCCAAGGGACTGGTTTACCACGTCTCTAACTTGGCATTCAAGTAAGCGCACACCGGTGCTGAAGTGAGCTTGGCCCCATCATGCTGAAACCACGTGCGGTGATGAGTGGCGATCGGAACATCCTGCAGCAGTTCTGGTAGCACCTGTTCCAGAAAAATGAGATAATATTAACCATTAAGTTGCGTCAGTAGTAAGTATAAGCCAATCAAAAAGCCGTTGACTATATCAGTCTACACATTCACATAGAATCATTGTGCGCATGTGGTCGCGTTGCAAGTGGATTCTCTTGTCCACTTAATAAACCTCACCTCATCTGTAAATAGCACATGAGCTACATAGTCTGGCTGCAGCGTACATTGCTGTTCCACTCAATGGCATAAGTTCAGGCCAGAGGGAATAGAATACATTCTTATACAATAAATGATTGCTACAATGTGCTGTATCCACCCTTAAAGTTTGTACCATGAATTTGGGACCACCCGGCATAAAACTTTTATTTATTTCAAATGGCAGAGGTAATTGACATGAAAAAGCAAAAACATAGGAACAAAACAAGAAAGTAAAAAGTCATTTCCTTAGGAGCGCTCTTGCTTCCCAATATCGCTCGGTAGACAACGACCCGCGGAGGGCCCTGCAGCACAGGATGTGGCTGCCATCCAAAACAGCTTGGCTCATGCATAGAGAACAATAGGGATCAGGTGCCAGCCCTAAACGAAATAGGTGCGCGGCAAGGCAGTCATGTCCGGTATGTAGTCGAAACTGAGCCACCGCTTCGCGGCGCGGCCAGTCTGGAATGGTGTTCTGTCGAAGATCTCTCCACACTTTGGTTTTTACCCTTTCTGACAATTGATGGTGGAAATCCCCATGGATTTTTGATCTAATAGTCCTTTTTAGAGTTGAAAAGGGGACTGGACTACTAAGAGCCTGGAGAATTCTTGTGCCTCTCTTTGCCAAAACATCAGCCCTTTCATTTCCTGCAATATCACAATGCCCGGGAATCCATTGTAGGGCTACAGTTTTGCCAAAATGGTGGAGTTTGCGTATCGCATCCTGACATTTTAGAACGTCGCAATTAGAAGGGCAATGCATAGATTCAATCGAGCAAAGCGCCGCCTTCGAGTCTGAAAGGATAACCACATTTGAAAAAGACTCAATAGAACAAAAAAGCTGTTTAAGAGCAATACGGATTGCAACAACTTCCCCGTCAAAAGCAGATCTATTGGCACCCACTGGAGCACCAAAGGAGAAGAGATTACAAGAGATACCAGCTCCAGCATTTGGTTGATCTGGATGGAAAGAGCCATCTGTAAAAACTCTCAGCCAGAGCGGTTCCGGGTAACGGATTCCCATTGTCTCCAGCGCAAGAACGTGGAGAGCAGCGGTAGATGTTTCACTTTTAACAATGTCCTGTTCAAGAGAGAGCCTGACATTAATTTTTTGGTAGTCAAGAGGGCTCACCAGTTCCACCTGACCTTCTAGTTGGGGCAGATCGATCCCAACCAATTGATCTTTGACAGTCTGAATAAATCCATTTTGAGTTTTTAAATTACGAGGAGTAAGTTGATAGTTAGTCCAGAAATTATCCATTTGGGTAAGTTTAAAGTATAGTAAGACAGCCCTTTCCCTAAAGACAACATCCAAAGGTTTAATGCCTGTGAGCAAGGTCATTGCGTCTATAGGTGTAGTTTTTACAGCACCTGTTATTAGTCTAAGGGCCTGGTTTTGTAAGACCTCAAGCTTTTGAAGTAGGGATGTAGGCATAGAGATGAGTGGTTCAGAGCAGTAAGTAAAAATTGGAAGGATGTATTTTTGATAAGTCAGAGCGAGGGTAGACCGGGCACATCCCCAGAGAGTGCCAGCAAGTCGTTTTAAAATAGGGAGGCGTCTTATTACCCGTTCGGCAACAAATGCAACATGGTTCCTCCAGCTCAGTTTAGAATCAAAAACGGTTCCGAGATAAGTGAAGGAATCAACATTTTCAAGCGTAGTGCCAGAAAAAGAGAGATTTGGTATAATAGGTCGATGCATTAGTGAGAAAGTTTGAGTGGCACACTTATTCAGATTTACTACCATATTAGTTTCCTCACACCAACGACTGAGGGATTCCAGTGCAAGATTAAGTGTGGTCTCAACAGTTGATTTAGCGTGGCGCTTTGATGCTGTGGTCCAGAAAACAAGATCATCCGCATAAAGGAGGCAATGGATGTTAGGCACTTCCGTTAAGGTGTTTATCAAGTCATTGATGTAGACGTTGAAAAGGGCACAGCTGGTAACAGCTCCCTGTGATGTAGATGGTGATAGGTAAGGTAAGATATAGCATTCGTTGTTATGTCATGATCAAGCAGTGGTAGCCCAGTGGTTATAGAATCGGACTCAAGTCTGGAAGGATACCGGGGTTCAATTCTCAACTCCACCAAGAGTACGAGCGATATACATGCTCGTAAAATCTATGGAATCGAAGTCCTGACGCTAAACAGTACCGTGGGTATAGAGATCTGGATTCCTTCCCTTTCAGATCAGTGCATAAATTGAGGACGTGGCCATCACATAATTGCAAGTATTTGGATCATCTTCAGAGATGTTTCCATGACCGTCATTGATAGCCTATTCTGCAGCTCACGCGAAAATGAAGTACTTACCCACCTACGTCACGATCAACGGCAAGGACAAGTCCTTTGTGTTCAGGGTTCCCACTCTTTCAAAGAAGGGAAAATTAAGGATTTTTTTAAAAAAATTAAGGAGCATAAAAATATTATGATTGTTTATCATTAAATACACAAATGGATGGTTTTTTCAATATAAATGTAAACAATAACAATCTCGACTTCAATACTGTTTGTCTAAAATAGGTACTCTTCCAGACATTCGTCTGGAGCTGTGGCGGTGACTATGGTAGCGAGGTATGATTATTTCAAGTAGGGGTGCGGGGTCCCTCTTTAGGACTGGTTTCAGCGAGAGAATAGGAGACTTCTTTCTTCGGTTTATTGTGTTAGCCCTGTTCAAAATGCCCTCTTCTTGTTTCCATAGCACTAGACTGCCGCAGAATTTGTGACGGGAAGAGTACCTATCAAACAGTACCTGCTCTAGTTCCGGTCAGCAAGTTTGCAACTGCTAAATGCAGCCCATTCTGCTAGGCGATATTTTCAAACGGATAAATTTGTTTTCAATAAAAGAAGTAAATTAAATAATTTCTGAGCTCAAATCTGCCGTATTTCATAAGATATTAATGTTAATAAGTAATTCTGGTGAGTTATTTAAATATATGTTGTCAAAAAAGGTGACATGGTTGCTAGATTTTGAATAACTCACTTTTTTGGCAGTCCTGATTTGGCCACTTTCCATTTGTTTATTAGTGTTTGTTTTTGTTGCAAGCTGTGCACCATCTTATGTTAGTATTAGCACGTTTAGCATTGTAAACACAAGTAATCAAATACCACGTTTTCCAAGAATCTCAAAATACAATGGTCACGTTGTGAGACAAATGGCTTTAAAATAAACCGGAAACAGTAACTCGGAAGTATAGACGGAATGGAGCTTGCAGCGTACCCTAGAGTAGAAAACACCATGCATACCACCAGTGCCAATTATTTACTTTTTTTTAAAAAATCAATCAATAAAAATAATAATAAAGCAATTTTATTATAATATAAGTACTGACAAAATTGTATTAATTAACAGGCCTTGCCAGAGTAGAACCAGGCACTTTTTGCGAACCCGGGTCGGGTTTTCTTAAAAACATTTTCAAATTGTTAAGGGCCAACTTCATTTATGAAGCTAATCCGTATTCCATTTTTAATGATTTCATTGAAATTGAATTGTAAAATTTAGTGCAGAAATTGAGATTTGCAATTGTTTTCATATATTTAAAATACTTTGTCATATATTTGAAAGGAAACAAAGTAAATAAAGAAATTTAGGAAAAACCTTGAAAAAAATTATAACAAGTGTTTATATTTCGCTGCTAGACATGCATCACATATTCAGTTGTGGACCAATCTTCCTGAATATTCAGCTACACCCAAAAAAATCTCTCTTTTCTCTTAATAAAATATTTCATTTATAAGGGTATATATNTGTCAAAATTGGAATTCAAATAACTGATATTTATATGCAAGTTATTTGAAAGTTTTACAGCGGCCTAGGCCAATAGGCCCATACGCCAAATACAATGGAATACATTAAAAAAAGATTAAAAAAAAAAGATACTAAAAAGTTATATTAGACTTATGCATGACAGTAGTTTTCTTAAGTCCTGTCATGTTAAATTGAATTCTATTTCAGGTAAAAACAGCCCATGCTAACGTAACCCCTAATCATTCCACTTTTTTCTCATTAGGTTAAATTTAATATTTTTTTAAAATTCATTGCAATAAATATTTTCATGAAAACATTTTATTGAATAAAAATACAACTATGTTTGTTTGAGAAGATTTAACAATTTTCAAACCAATATGTTTTTTATTAGTTCTCGGTGAATATATAAATAAAAAGGTCTAAAACGATTTTTCAAAGGTATCAACGCATTCCTATGGCCAGAAAAATTGATAAGGTTCCTTAACTAACAAATTGATAAATAATTTATTTTTCCATCATTTATATTAGATAGCTACTTTTAATCTTTCTCAATATTATCCTCTACTATTATTATGATTTGATATTTTGTTTTCATCGTGAATTAACAGTTTAAAACTGAAAGTGGTATTCTTTTATTATAAAGTAATCCTGTATTATCACCATTTTACGTAACGTTTTGTAAAAAAATATTGAAAAATCTTATGAAAGATATATTGAAAATGGTATGTAATTAACCTCTTGAAATAATTACTAAACAGCAAATGTGTTATATTTACTTAACACGTTGAATGCCAAGATAATTTTACATGGTTTGCCCGTTTGGTCAAACGGTAATTAACTACTAACTGAATTTGCAAATTTGACAGATTTTGCTAGTTTCTTAGAAAATATTTATTCGCTGTCAGGAGTAAGTTGGCATCTCTGTGAATATAAATACTACAACTATTTTCGTGTGTTCTATATTGCATTAATTTCATCAAACCATTTTGGTAAAGATAATAATATAATATTAAAAATTTACTCTAATCATGTGTTTCTAATAATCTTGGCTTCACCGGTCACCCCCATGGCATTCAACGTGTTAATTAACTTTACATAATATTACTAAACAATCCGGCGGAAAGCATGAACTAATTTTAAAGCAACCAAAAGTTAAATAGAAATTGAAAAAAAAAACAGTATATTAATATGCAATGTTTCTTGAATAAAATGATTATTAAAATATAAGTTTGTATTTTATTCTAATGGACATTGATGGCAAAATGCTTGGGATCTTTTAATTGGGTAGATTTAAATTTTTATGTATCAATCTGTTAATCTTTCAGGAATAAAAATAATGGTGTAACAATCTAAAACTTCAAAACAAGTTATAAACTTGTTTTGATGTTTTAGATTATTACACAATATTTAACTTTCTTATTAGAAGCAAATCATGCACTTTTATTCAGCACTCTGGAATTAAAGTTTAAAATATTTTTGGAAATACTTTGGGTTTTATCATGTTACCACTTTCTATAAATTTACAGCTACTTATTACACACTGAAATATTTTACAAATTTATTTAATTCCTCAAGATTTTGGTAATACTTTTGGTATGGATTCCAATTCAAAATATTTATTTTTTCTGATACTTCTTTTCTTAGGTTTTTACTTCATTCCTATAAGCAGATGCGTTACCAGTTGAACTGAATTTCTTGAATTCTGTTGATTTTGAAGGTCAGAGTGGGTCTTCTATTTGGGTACCTTTGAACTGCCCCCCCCCCAAAAAAAGGACTATATCTTCCATGAGCAATATTTTTTTTGTTCACACTCAATTCGTTTCTTACAGAATGCTTCATTCTCCTCACAGAGTATCAGTCTAGGCAAAATATTAATAATGAACGAACATGCTTTCTTTTCCCTGTCTATAGCTGTATCACATACATACCTTCCTGTCCCCCTATAAAGCTCTATCATCGATGTTCAGTCTAATTCTACGTGAAAAAAGAACGACTTTTTGTTTTAAAAAATTGAACTGAAAAAATGTTCATATCAACTATAGGGATACTGAAAAATTAAGGACTTTTAAAAAACTTGCACCAAAATTAAGTACTTTTAAGAGACCTTATTTTTCAAAGTAAAAGTTTTCAAGGACCGTGGAAACCCTGTAGTTCGATCCTGCCGAAATACCGTTTTTGCGGTACCCCCAGAGAAATTGATTTGTTGGCGAACTTTGGAGGAACTCGGTTCAAGGAAAGTTTCCAACCAACAAAAATTTTTAGAAGGCTGTGGGGTCTCAGGTGCCCCGGGTTCGAATCTCAGCTGAGGCTGGTTGATCTGAATTCTGTAACAAACTCGCACGAACCACAGTGCTGATGTAAAATGTTCCCAGTGAGTAGGTGGATTATGGGTTAGAGTTCCCCAGCTGTCAGGATAATCCTGGGAGGTTTTTGTGATTTTCCTCATTATGTAACAAAATACGGTGTAGTTTCATCAAAGTACCCTCCACAGAGATAAATTTCCCCCAATACTTTATCCAGGAGTCCCTTAATTCTTGGATTAGGTTCGAAATTACAAGGCTAAGGAGTTGATCACTAGTAGTCGTAAATCCAAAAATTGAGCTTTATGCTGCTTAAAATCCAAAAAATCTTACAGTTAAACAAAAATCATAAAACAGGGCCCAGAGCTTTATGTTCCTGTTGTGGACGGAGATTCTCCGGGGGTGGAGGGTTTCGTTTATTGAGCTAACTAAAAAAAGATTTTCCAGAATGACTATTTTTACTTTAGCCACAACTGTTTAATTACATTCTGCACAGAACTCTTTTTACATATAAACTACAAGAATAAGAATTCAAAACACATTAAAACATTATATGGACAGCTAAACCACTATAATGTAAAAATAAAACTTTTATTACTAATTTTTACACTCAATAGTATTAACAAAACTGATGACATTTAGGGTAAACTTCAGTAAAAATTTTCTTAACGCATCTCAGAAGAATAAGAATTTTCAATAGAATGAACTTGACTGTGCAGAGTTAGAAGATCCTTTCAGGAAAAACTCTTATAACATATACTATAAGAATAATGTTTCTCCCCAGTATGAATATGATTGTGCACAGACAGTACACTTTCTATAGAAAAAGTTTTTTTTTACATTTGTGACAAGGATAAGGTTTTTCACCAGCAAGAGTGCGACTGTGTATAGTTTAATTATGCTTCTGTGAAGAACTATTATTACATACACCACAAGAAAAAGGTTTCTCACTATGAACATGCCTATGTCTGAACAGAACATGCCCCGATAAAAAACTTTTATTACACAAGTAACAAGAATCAGTGTGTTCAAATGTGATGAGTCAAAATTATCTTCAACAAAAATCTCTTATAGCAAATATACTACAAGAATAAGGCTTCTCCCCTGTATGAGTGCAACTGTTCAGTTAAATTCTTCCTTTTTGAAAAACTCTTATTACATACACTACAGGATCAAGGTTTTTCACCAGTATGAACACGGCTGTATCTGGACAAATGCTGTCCTGTATAAAGGTGTGCAGTTAAGTTTTGTTTCGTTGTAAAACTTTTATTACATGCACTGCAAGAATAAGGCATCTCTCTGGTATGGACACGTCTGTGCACAGTCAATGCTGTCCTTTGTGAAAAACTTTTATTGCATATTTCACAAGAATAAGGCTTTTCACCAGTATGAGAGCGACTGTGATCAGTTAGATGCGACTTCTGTGAAAAACTTTTATTGCATGCACTACAAGAATAAGGTTTCTCCCCAGTATGAACCCGGCTGTGAACAGACAGTGTACTTTCACGTGAAAAACTTTTATTACATATACCACAAGAATGTGGTTTCTCTCCAGTATGCTTGCGAATGTGTAAAGTCAGTGATGACTTTCTTGAAAAACTCTTATTACATACATCACAAGAATATGGTTTCTCTCCTGTATGAATGCGATAGTGTATAGACAGTGCTGACTGTTGTGCAAAACTCTTATTACATTCACTGCAAGAATACGGTGTTTCACCAGTATGAACTCGTCTGTGCTCAGTCAATGTTGTCTCCCGTGAAAAACTTTTATTGCATATCTCACAAGTATAAGGCTTTTCACCAGTATGAGTGCGACTGTGATCAGTTAGATGAGCATTCCGTGAAAAACTTTTATTGCATGCACTACAAGAATAAGGTTTCTCCCCAGTATGAACCAGGCTGTGCTGAGAGAGTTTAGTGCCACAAGCAAAACTTTTATTACATATACCACAAGAATATAGTTTCTCTCCTGTATGATTACGAATGTGTAAACTCAGACTTGACTTTCTTGAAAAACTCTTATTACATTCACTGCAAGAATAAGGTTTTTCACCAGTAAGAGCATATCTGTGAGTAGACAATATTCTCTTATGTGAGAAACTTTTATTACATAGGTCAGAAGAATAAGGCTTTTCACTGCTATGTGTGCCATCGTGTTGATTTGAATTCATTTTCATTGAAAATTTCTTACTACATACTCAAAAAGATGTTATCTGTATGAGTTTAGAGCATTATTATACTTTGTGAGTTATACTGATTGGGATCTAATAACTTTTATATAGCTTAATTATGTTATTGAAGATATTTATATGAGCTGTAATGATAAGGATATATAAGTGTGTACTGACTTAGATTTCAGTTTCTATTACTGTTTTAGACTTTTCAGCATTAGTTTACGGTTAAGACCTGGAATTTTTTTATAAAAGCTACAACAGTAATTTTACAAGAATAATATTTTCCTGTTGATTGAGTAACTGATGTAAGTGAAAATTACTACACATTACATTAAAATACTCTAAAAGAAGTATTTAAATTATTATCAGTAACTAAGCATAATAAGTGTTTAAACTATTATCAATACATATAAGTTATACAATGGAATGAATGAACAACAATTAGACATCGTTTTTAAATACCACACAATATTATAGTCTTTAGGCAATGTAAACCAATTTCTTCAACTTTTCACAGTGGCAGTAGAAACTAGTTTAAAGAATCTAAGGTAAACATCAAGTGTCACGAAATACTGGCTACTGTATCCAACTTAAGAAAAACAAATCTGAAAAAAAAATATATATAAATAAAAAAAACTAATAAACAAATAAATTAAATATGTGTCTTGATATAATGTATAGAGTATTTAAAACTTGAATAAATACTTTTATTGCTGTAAAATCAAAATTCAAATTATGGCAACTTTTACAATGCACAAATTATATGAAAGATATCACCTTCAATGATTTTTTGTTCTAAAAATAAGATGTGTAAATTTATATTAATCGTGGTCCCTTTTGCAAAAAAATAATTCAAAACACGTACCTATTACTTGTACACGTACCTATTACAAGGTGCAGAGCAGAGAGACAAAAACAAATGGGAGGGACGACTAACCAAATTCTACCTATTACTTTAGTCCCATGAACACAGGCAAATTTAACAACACACACCTAACCTATTCGTTTTGTTGTCACATTATTTAAAAATCACACATCACAATTCGTATTCACACGTTTTAAAAAACATAAGTTTTGATTCTTCTTGCAAATTATAAGTCACACACCATAATTCGTATTAATGCGAACTCAAAATTGTACATTTCATTTTGTATTAACATTAACGAGATGTAAACGATTAATGTTCTGCCGTTTAATAAATCATACGTTCTTGCTCGTCTCACAATTCAAGAATGATACACTGTGAGTCATTGTCACACGATTTAAGAAGCTCATAAAGTTATTCATATTCGCAAATTTTAAAAATCGTACGTCGTGAGTCTTCTCGAAATTTAAAAACCACATATTGCGCTTCATATTCACACATTTTAAAAATCATAGGTTATGAGTCTTCTCGAAATTTAGAAACCACACATCTCGATTTGTAAACCACGAACCGTATTTTTTATTTGCATAATTTCAGAATCACACATAGCAATTCGTTTTTAAAAGCAATGTGAAAAATAACTCAACTCTATTTTTATTCAAGAATTTTAAAAATCAGGAAAGGAAGAACACTTTCTAACACTTATTCCGAAACTAAGTTATTTGCCCTAAGTTTAATAGTACCCATAACAACAGCTTCAGTCGAAAGACTTGATTACCAGAATGAATTTGGCATGTTCAAAATTACAGAGCAGTCTTAAAACAAAATCATTAATTTTTAATTTAATGGCTCAAAATGATCTGATGATCAAATAGATAAAATTATCACAATATTTAAAAGTTTACAACTTGCAGGATAACCATTAAGAAATTATTTAAAAAATTTTCTACCAACTAGGACCATTTTATATAATTTATTATTACATGCTGGGAGATGATTTGTATACATTTGAGCTGCAAAAATATGTTATCAAGATAAGTTTTGTAAATTTTAATTAATTGTTAAGATATAAATGTATTAACTGTAAATAGTAAGCGTCATGTTAAAAAAAGTATTAGTCTCAAAGAGTTGTGAAGAAGTATATTAATAGTTTTCTTTTTTTTATTATTATAATTATTAAGGAAAATAGTTCCTCAAAATTAATGTTTTCTTTCTTTCTTTCTTTTTCTTCCCTCGCTCAGCCCCTGCCTCTTATACTATGTGGTCCTTTCAGCATGTCACCTCAGTACTGGCAATCATGCGGCAAAATTCATGAAATTATGCATCTGTGGTTAAAAAAAATCTTGGTTAAGAACTATAACTTAAAACACTTCAAATAACATTTTTTTTTAAATAACTAATATTGCAATTTCTTTTATATCTCAAATTAAAAGTTTGTATGTAAATAATTAACATACAGTGCATAGCTTAGACTTTAAATGCTAAAACAACCATAACCTTTTTAATTAACTATATTACTTAAGCATCTATTCACTTTTACTACTAAGATACTGTTTAATTTCGAAAAAATTCTTTTTCTTCAATCAGTTGATACTTACAATAAACAGAAGATAGTGTCATAGAATAGTATTGCTGAAAACAAATTAAATAAATATTTTCCATAAATATTGTCATAACTTTTGTTCAAGGGTATATTTAAACTTTATAAATGCAAATCCCTTTTACTTGCCTATAATTTTAGTTATAAAACAGCTAAAATATTACAGTATGAAAATATGTCATTAATAACAAAAGAGCAAATTTAGCTCCAAATTCAAATATTGATGCTAATAAAATAAAAGTATCGACATTCGTTGGCATCTGAAATTTTACCACGAGGTCTAACATAGGGGTTTATAATATATGCTAACTGGAAAACGCATGTTACCGGAGACTGATATTAGTTTACGTCAATTTTTTACCATTTTTACCCGCCTAATACCTCAAAAATTTATAGTGCCTCGTTAGTCACAGCCTAGAATGATGATGCTTTGATGTAGAAATCGATACGGAAAACAGAGCCTCCGAAATGCAAATTTGAAACAATGATTTGAGATAAAGAAAGCAGTAATCACATAATACTCTAGTGCAGTGACATCTAGTGTTATATTGATATTAAATTTTGTTAAAAGAATAATTATTATTCAGTCACATTATTTTCAAAATAAATTTATAGGTATTTCAAATATTTATAGCAAGTAAAAACAAAGAAATATTACTAAATAAATTTCAAAATATGTGTCGTTATTTTATCAGTACTTTTCGGTTAGCTAGGAGCAAGTGAAAAGTCACCAAAAATTTTCACTTACACCGACTATATTTAAAAATATTCATTTAGTTTATTATTTTCTAAGTGCGTAAAAACTAAAAATTAAACAATTTTAAACAATCAATAGAGTTTACACCCTACAAACCAAAAATTACAGTTTTATCATGTGGAAAATTATGAATTTTTATTTATGATGACACATTATTCAATTTACATCAATGGGACAGTGAGAAACACTTTTTGTCTGGGAAGATTTAACAAACAAATAACTAATCACATTTAAAATGTTAGAATAAGAAAGCATAATTAATGTTTTTATAATATACCAAATTATTTATGCAGCATGAATATTATCCACTTAAACAACAAAGATGTTTCTTCTTTTGCTGATTTTTCTTACTCCAAAAGATGAGGGTTTTTTTTTCAATATAAAGAAGATGGTGCAATAAAATATGATTATCTTCAAGAAAACATACTTAATTAATATTTTTATGAATACACTTCACATAAATTTAGTCAAAATACGGGTGTTTTCAACATTATAAATCTAAGACACATTTAATTGCTTAAATTTTTTGCATGAATCTGTTTACGTTTATTGATAACTATTTCTACCCGCCCACCACTTAGAAGATTCATCTAATTCTGATGATTTTTGGTCATTTTAGGAATTGGTGACTGGGTGAAGTGAGCTTTACGCTCGCTTTTGTGAAGAAAATTACTTTAAATTCCATCAATCTTCTTGTAACCCCATATTGATTGCTAATCCGCACTGTGCCAAACTTACTCGCCAAAGTAAAGTTCTCTTTGGCGCTGTTGAAGGAAAAGCTTTTTTCGGAGGAAGCCATTTTATGAATTTGGTTGCGTGGGATTTCATATTTTATCATGATGGAAGTTTTAATTGCAGGTAATTTTGATTAATTAAAGATTTATAACATTAGTGTATGTTTCAAAGCATTATTTAAAAAAAAATTACATGACATTTAAAAAAGATTAATGAATTTTATTACGCTTTAAAATTTTAATTACATAGTTCGTTTTTGTTTAGATTTCTAAAGTTCTGTAAGATTTTCATTTATCGAAGTTTTCTCTGCTTCCTTAGAAATCCTTTGTTCGATTTGCCAATGTGTGAAGCAGTTTAGTAATGAAATTTCTTATATTTAAATTAGATGATTTATGTTTACCTCAGTGACATAATACAAAGGTACCTTTTTTCTAGAAAATATATTGTTAATTAATTTTTATTTTTTTGAAAGCTTTTATAGTTTTCAGACTCTCTAGAGAAGTATTTCTTGTATACGTGTACTTGTTAAATGATTTATCATTTGTGTTAAAAGAAGAATCGTTATAAGTATCGTCATTTGAAGACCTGTCATTTCAAGACGTAAGAATTGTCATTTGAGAGAAATAATCGTTATAAAGCAGGTTGCAGGTTGTCATCGCCTTCTTGGGGTCGATATAGACCACTTTCGGAATCACTGCTCTAACGTACGGTGGTGCGCAGCTTGCACCAAGAACAAAGAGTAATAGACAAGTAAAAAGTGGATAGATCAAAATTGCCAGATAAGAAATTCTTTCTATATCTTTTAACCATGCCACCTACTTTAACTATCATCTATGAATAACTTAAAAGAATATTCACTTCAAACTTAGAAGAATTTCTTAATATCTTACAGCAGATTTGAGCTCAGACATTATTCGCCACGCATAATTTGCTGGCGTGGGTTTAGAATTAATATTTGGCAAATAAGGGGCGATACTCCTGCCTCCTCGCGTCGACTTGTTCTTCACCCCAACTTTGAATTTGACAGAGTGATCGATAATTACTCCCCTTCTTGGTTTTGGATGATTCTACTGGAACACCCTTTAGACCCTCCTGCACTACTGAATTTTAATTGTCATCGTTTGAAAGGAGGCAGCGTATCCATTACCCAACCAGGAAAATGCTAAAGCTCGCTTCAAATAGCAAATGCATTTAAAAAACACTTGAATTTTATTATGTCGTATCTGTTTTGTACTAATGCAGATGTAATTTAATAATTGTCATTATAACTATAATATTTATTTGTTGCTATGTTTTAACAAATTATATTTGGAATTACTGGGTTCATTAAAAGACTTTTTTTTAAAATTAAAAAAATTATTTTGTCATAATTGTGTTACCTACATTTATTCTAAATATAAGGTAAGTAATCAGTTGCATTCTATTTATTTTGACAAATTAAGCAGTAATGAAAAGTTAATTTTACCTATAATATAAAAAAATGCATTAACACTTTCGCACTCATCAAGAATTTTCTCATTATAGAAATTTCCGAGTTAGAAACCGAAGAAAATACGTAGATCCTCTTTTTGAGTACAGGATATATTTTTTATTTTACAAGGAATACATTTTCTTTTATTTTTTCATTAATCAAATAATTAAAATGAAAGAAATAATTATTGCAATTTAAACCATATTTTCACATATAAATCGTTAAGTTCCAATAACTAAGAAAAACTCAGACTGATGAAAAACGTTACCCCCCAGAATAATAATGTAAATTGATGGAAAAGAGAGAGAATTTATTTACGTAATTAAAAGCTGAAAAGAATTAAATACAAGGTGGTCCCGTATTCATGGTACAGATTTTAAAAGTAAAAACAGGACATTGTACCAATAGTCGCAAATAATGCGATGAGGTGCAAACCCAAATAATAAGAGACGAAAGGATAAACAAAGTGTAAATTGAAAGCGTCGTTGACAAGTGTAATGTTTACTGCAACTGTTAAAAATTGCATCCACCAGTAGCGATACATGCTTGAAAGCTTGAGTGGAGTGATTGGTGTACACATGCAGCAGCTTCGGATATTCGAACAACGAGATCTGAGTCAAATGGAGTCCCATAAACAAGATTCTTCAGGTGTCCCCATAAAAAGAAATCGAGCTTCGATAAATTGGGAGATCAAAGTGGCCAAGGGACTTGTCCACCACGCCTCTAACGTGGCATTCAAGTAAGCACACATCGCTGCTGAATTGAGCTTGGCCCCATCAAGCTGAAACCGCGTGCGGTGATGAGTGGCGATCGGAACATCCTGCAGCAGTTCTGGTAGCACCTGTTCCAGAAAAATGAGGTAATATTTACCATTAAATCGCGTCAGTAGTAAGTATAAGCCAAATAAAAAGTCGTTTACTATATCAGTCTACACATTCACACATAGAATCATTGTACGCACGTGGTCGCATTGCAAGTGGATTCTCTTGTCCACTTAATAAACCTCACCTTATCTGTAAATAGCACATGAGCTACATAGTCTGGCTGCAGCGTACATTGCTGTTCAACTCAATGACATAAGTTCAGGCCAGAGGGAATAGAATACATTCTTATACAATAAATGATTGTTACAATGTGCTGTATCTACCTTTAAAGTTTGTACCATGAATCTGGGACCACCCTGTATGAAACTAATAAAAGCAGAGACATGCCATGCTACAATCTTGGAAGAGTGACGTCACGGAAGAATAACGTTTTAACTAACATCACACCATCGATAAGATTAAATGGCACTGTCAATGAAAATTTCATGATGATTTTTCCCTTAAGACTAGCTTTATTCAAGGATTTTTTTTAACGTTTGAAAACCCTAAGACAACCGATTTAGGGATTTTATATTGTTTTCCAAGGTTTTGGATTAGAGTAATGTGAGTAGAATAGAGCAGATTGTTACAGACCTCTTTTTAAGCTTAGATGGTTTTTTACGTAAACCGCATTCGTTGTAGATGGTGATAGGTAAGGTAAGATATAGCATTCGTTGTTATGTCATGATCAAGCAGTGGTTGCCCAGTGGTTATAGAATCGGACTCAAGTCTGAAAGGATACCGGGGTTCAATTCTCAACTCCACCAAGTGTACGTGCTCGTAAAATCTATGGAATCGAAGTTCTGTCGCTAAACAGTACCATGGGTATAGAGATCTGGATTCCTTCCCTTTCAGATCAGTGCATAAATTGAGGAAGTGGCCATCCCATAATTGCAAGTCAGCTTCAGAGATGTTTCCATGACCGCCATTGATAGCCTATTCTGCAACTCTTGTGCGACGAAAGTAAAGTACTTACCAATGACGTCACGATCAACAGCAATGAAAAGTCCGCTTTTGTGTTCAGGGTTCCCACTCTTTCAAAGAAGGAAAAATTAAGGACTTTTTTGAAAAATTAAGGAGCATAAAAATACTATGATTGTTTATCATTAAATATACATATGGATGGTGTTTTCAATATAAATGTAAACAATAACAATCTCAAGCTCAATACCTGCTCTAGTTCCGGTTAGCAAGTTTGCAACTGCTTTTGTTTTCAATAAAAGAAGTAAATTAGATAATTTCTGAGCTCAAATCTGCCGTATTTCATAAGATATTAATGCTATTAAGTAATTCTGGTGAGTTTGGAGTGAGAATTTGTTTAGTTATTTAAAGATATATTGTTAAAATAGATGACATGGTTGCTAGATTTTGAATAGCTCACTTTTTTGGTAGTCCTGATTTGGCCTCTTTCCATTTGTTTATTACTGTTTGTTCTTGTTGCAAGCTGTGCACCATCTTACGTTAGAGTTAGCACCTTTAGCATTGTTAACACAAGTATTGTTGGCATTATAAACACAAATAATAAATAATCAAATACCACATTTTGCAAAAATCTCAAGATACAATAGTCACGTTGTGAGCCAAATGACTTTAAAATACACAGGAAACAGTTACCCGGAAGTATAGGCGGTATTGAGCTTGCAGCGTTCCCTAGTGTAGAAAATACCATGCATACCAATAGTGCCAATTATTTATCTATTTTTTTTAAAAATCTATCAATAAAAAATAATAAAAAAGCAATATTATTATAATATAAGTACTGACATAATTATATTAATTAACAGGGCTTGCCAGAGTAGACCCAGTCAATTTTTGCGAACCCGGGTCGGTTTTTTTTAAAAAGTATTTTCGGATTGTTGAGGGCCAACGACATTTATGAAGCTAATCCGTATTCCATTTTTAATGATTTTATTGAAATTGAATTGTAAAATTTAGTTCAGAAATTAAGATTTGCAATTTTTTTCCTTCGTTTAAAAAACTCAGATATTTAAAATACTTTTTCATATACACTGCTGGCCACCATAAATGCAACACCCTGAAGGAAGCATGCAAATAACATAATATTTACAACATGCATTAGCGGAGGTGAGATATGCAAATGATTAGAATTTCAGCGCAGACGAACATTACGCGCGCCTGTGGCGCCACTTCAAAGCGCTATTTATTTATTTATTTCAAATGGCAGAGGTAATTGACATGAAAAAGCAAAAACATAGGAACAAAACAAGAAAGTAAAAAGTCAAAACGCTGGGGTACGCTTACAGATCTACCTCCCCGTGGTGTACCCTGGTAACGTCTTTTGACGGCTAAGAGATCTGTAGTTTCCGGCATGTCTTCGCAAAGCGCTATTTAAGGCTTGGAGATTTCGACGATTTGAAGTTCGGCAATTGTATTTTTCCGGTGGTTTTTTTTAAAAAAAACGATGCCTATAGAAAAAAAACAGCGATCATCTTTTAATCAAGTATCCGAGTTCGACAGAGGAAGTATAGTGGCCTACCAAGATTGTGGATTATCTTTCAGGGAAATCAGTGACGAAACCTAACAACTGTAACGCGGATATGTGATCGTTGTATG